CACCAGCAGGCCGAGCGGGCCCCAGGTTAACCCCAGCCTGGCCCCGCGGCTTCTCCAGCACCAGGTCAACCCGGCTGTAGCCAAGCAGCTCCTGCAGCACCATGTCAACCCAGGCACGCATGCCATGTCAACCAGCACCATGGCAGCGCCTGCAACTTCACTGGTGTCAAAGGTCACGTGACATCACCTCCTGATATGATACCACTTCCTGTGATGTCTTTGAATATGGCTCACCGGGCCCACTGGGTGATAAAAAATGTGTGATCCGGCCCCACATTCAAAAAGGTTGGACACCCCTGGACTAGATGATCTATTTAGGTCCCTTCTGACCCCAAACTACTATGAAACTATGAAACACCATAAATAGTAATCCAGCCACATACTAAAGATAATTTATGGCATGGTAATATAGGAAACAAGCCACAAAGATATTTCATATATAATGTATAATATTTTTTGTGGCTCAGTTGTATCATGGCCTAAAATTGAACATCTAGTATGTTGGGGTTGACCCATGACAGATCCTCAGGCTCAGCATAGGGATCTGGCATGGGGCAGTCTCAGGGTCCAGGACACAGCTATCCCCTACCCAATCAGTAAGATCAAACCAGGGGTAGCACTGGGTCCAGGACCTGGTGCCTCCATCCAATTCCAAAAGGCAGATCGGAGCTGCTGTGAGTCCAACATCATGGAGCATCTTTCCAATTTCGGGCTCACTGTGTCCTGGACCTTTAAAAAGGGGACACAGTGCTGGAAGCCCCAGCTGTACACCTGCTTTTGTAAGTTCCTGGCATGCCCACAGCTGGGAATTCAACTCCCCAGCTGCAGGATTCACTTTATAGAGTGTGGGGAGAGAGAGGGGGGCAGGACATGGACAGCTGGGGAGCCAGGAATCCTGGGGCACAAGGAGCTTTAAAGGATGCACCTACAGCATGGCTGCAACTGTGCTTTTCAAAACTCCCTGGGCACTCAGACCCAAAAAATGGGAAGAGGCTCCCCAGTATTCAGCGTTCCCACCCAGGACTTTATTAAACCCCATTCCTGGCAATTCTGGCCAGACTGCAGGGAGTCAGCAGCTTATGGTAGGATTTTAAATCCCCAGTGGGAGAAGCCCTTCAGCTCACCCCACACCTTGCCCAGGAATCCTCCAATCGCCCCATGCCTGGCAGCCCAGCCAGAGATGCTAGGTGGGGCGGGTGTATGTTGACAATCAGCTGTCAGCCTGACTCAGATAGCCCTGCTCTTGACTGTCTGGACCCAGGACTGTCCCAACTGGGGTCAACAATAGGTTGATTTGTCAGGTCATCATCACAAAGGGGACTCAAACCAGCCCCGGTACTGTCCTGAGCCAAGATGAAAATTGGCTAATTGTCAGCACCAGCCTCATGAAGTGGTTTCAAATCAAAGGAATGGGATTCCAAAAGAGCATTCTAAAAAGGAGTGGGGCAAGGAACCCAAGTAAATTTAAGATGGAATATGTCAGATTTATAAGATTTAGTTGCCTGAATTAGCATGGAACTGGTGACCCAGAAGATCCAATCTAGGCTTCTACCATAAAAGTTCGTAGTCTGAAGTTGTTTTGGAAAAAGAATAAAAGCTGCTTCATCAGAACTGCTCACTGAAAACTGATATGCCTTCCTCACAGCAGTCCTGTTTCACTAGAGGACTCAAACTATTCAAACAGATGGCTTCACCCTTCACTGTTGAGCTCTGTAAAGAAAAATGTAAGCACATTCTATTACAATTATTTTGACTAAACAGAAGGGGGGGGGACACCTAATGACCACATTTCATACTATAAACTTTTGTTAATAAATTAAAGAGTCAAATCATCTGACCCTTTAAGTAGAAAAATCAAAGTACATTAACACAAGCATATTAATATTTAAAAATCAAACAGTATAAATCTTACTGGAATTTTCCACTGTTTTCTCACCACATCTTTTGTTTCTGTCAACAATCCAATCCGACAAGGAGATTTCACATAGTTGCATCTGTATATGAAGCATTAAATGATACTCCACCTAGTAAGAAAATATTGGTACATGATTTTTCCACAGCAATGAAGAAGGTAGACTTATTAAAACAATACAAAGCATTTAAGATCAATAATGGAGAGGATGGCACAGATGGTGCTATTAAATCGATTGTGCTTCAAGTATGAGATTAATAAAACGAAGAAATATTACTTTATTTTCCTTATTTCTCTAGGCCCCATACACCAGTAAGGGTTATCTAAAAAGCACATAATAAAAGCTAACACAGCAACATGCCAGATATTTTGAAGGTATAAGAAAATACTTGGACAAGTTTATGGAAATCTTTTAGGTTGTTTTTGAAGAAAATAATTTAGAATGGAGGTGTTCAACCCCCTAGCCCAAGGGGCAAATGCAGCACGTGGAACTATGGCTCCCCGTAGGTCAGAAACCTTGGAAGCATGGAGCCAATTAATATTGCAACCCCTTCACCACTGTCAAATTCCTACACAGCCAGACAGGGGTCAGGCCACACCCCCTTCCACACATGCCTGGATCAGGGCCCGGCCATGCCCAGCCCCACACAACAGAGCAGGCCCAACAGCCTGTGAATAGACAAGGCATCACCCATCAAGCCCACAAAGCAAAAAGGTTGAGTACCACTGTTTTAGAAGAATGTCAGTATTGGAAAATAGAGGGATTTTGATAGCATGCTAATATCAAGATAAGTTTGACTACCACTCGTTGCAGAGCTAAATGAATTCAGGTGGAACACTGAAGACACATGGTTTTTTCTATACCCAAACACATGCTATGGCCTCAGAGATATAAGCATTAAATATAGGTGTTGCATTAAATGCTTTCATTACATCTTGTTTCTTTCACACACTCCTCCCTGCCCCAGTCCTGCAAGCACCTCCCTTTCAGTTCTCCAAGTCCAAAGCCTAGATCAGATTGTACTTTCTACTCCCTTTCTCTGTTGCACTCCCTGCAAGTCCACGTTTTACCATACATTTCCTAGTAACTATATCATGTTATCTAATGCACCCAACATGCCAAATTTATGCTCAAACCAGCTTCCTCTCAACATACTCCCTATTCCCTTATACTTACTTTCTAGTCACAAGAGCACTGATCCTGCCTTGTCCTTCTCAATAAATGACTCTAGTTACCCCCTTCCTCACTATTTGCAACATCATCCATACCCATCCTGACTTCTGTCCAAAAGCATCTCAACCAGTGGCTTAGTCATCTGTGCAGGATGTTGGTGGCATTTTGGTTTGTTTGGCTGTTTAACACCCCCCCCCCAAGAATGCTATTGTTGTTTTTAAAATGATATGGGAATTTTAAACCTGAAGAGTCAAGATAATGAATTCTTGAATGTTATATTTTGGTAACTCTTGTGATCAACAGTTCTGTAATTATGTTAACCACTCATAAAGCCACAAGTCATATTAACATTTCTGGATTTTGGCTCCGATCCCAGTCATGCCATTTAAAAATGCATTGTTAGAATTCCTGGGTACACTTACATAAGTCTTCTCTGAACACGGATTAAATCAAAGAACAATTATCGACATTTAAAGACTTTTATTTACCTCACATGGTCTGTGCACAGATGTAGTTTCTTGAGACCATGTAGTTTCTTCAGTACAGGAATCACTTGATGCAACACAGTCTTTATCCAGGTTGGAATGAGGTCCATATGATGAATGATTTCCAAAATAACTTGATCCACTAGTAGTATCACACATGCAGTTCTCTCGCAATTCCATGCGTTGTTCACATTTTTTCATTTTTAAACAATCTTCACTGTTTCCACCAGTAAAATCATGACTTATATCCATATATTGCGCTGATTCATCACCAGGACTTTCAAAATAAGTATGTCCACAGGATTTCTTTTCTTTTGAGCTAGATTCTGCAAAGATGACTGAACTACTACATTGACTGTGACACCCACCTCTGAAAAGAAAAACAGGGGGAAGGAATGTATGCAGTTATTGTGTTATCTGTTTGTGAAACACGAAGTAAAAGCATTTTGGAATTGCTCTGGAATTTTAAAAAGACACGATAATTTCCACCTTTTAAAATCCTGTAACAAGTTCCAAATAGATGACTTACTCTCTGAAGTGGAAGTTCAGCCCCTTCCCTATTCAACCTGAAAACTGTCTGTTCCTCTAAGTTCTGCCCTTTACTTTTGACAGATTTTTAAAGGGTCAACTTTCAGAAATTCTTATAGCAGAGACAACAATTACAGCCCCAAGTAGCCATTTGGAAGATATCTGCTATATTTTCCTCCCTTCTAGTTGACAAGTATTGTTAAATATTTGCCCACCCCCAGTCCATTTTTCCTATGACAAATGTTCACTTTTCTATTGATCTCTGCATCTTCCTGTTAATACTATATGCTATTCACTAATCTTGTTTGTGAATGGTACACATTACCTGAAGTAAAAATTACAAGTCTAGTAAAAATCTTAAATTGATAACAGATGCCCTAAAAATACTGAAGATAGATAGAAAGACAGGTTGGGTAATTTTGTGTGATCCATCTGACAATGTGAGGCAAATGCAAGTATAACAGATGCTCCATATTCAATACAAAGAAATAACACTGCTGCAATACAAGTTTAATTCTATATTATTTAATGTTACATGGAAAAAGACCTTATGTTAAATCCAAATCAATACTGTAAGCAAACATAATAATACTTACTTGCCACTTTCTTGATCATCAGAAGATATTTTCAGTGATGGTAATTCCACAAGTATCTTACCTTTAAGGTGAATAGATAAAACATAGCATTTTACAAAGTAAGTCTTCATTACTTTTTAGCATTTCAGCTACAGCTACTAATTAAACTCACAACTAAGGATGGGGTTTTATCTTTGAATGCCCCCTTTGTATTTGTACCCCTGGAATGGACTTTCTTATTAAAACAAAACAAAAAAAGAAATAACACAAAACAATTTTTAAACATGCAAAATACAGGTTATAGTAAGGAGGAATTCTCACTGTAAGGACTGTATTAGGTTCCTTTATGTTTTCATTTAGCTTCCATCTTTGACAAAACATTGTTGTTGTTGTTGCTGCTGCTGCTATTATTATTGTCAGCCTGTTCTAATTTAAGATTTTGTAATCACCAGTAAAGATAAGAATAAATTATTAAGATAGTGTAAATGTAAACTGAAATTTGCACTTCATCTTAGATGGAACACTTTTATTTATGAAAATACTAGCTCTATGGATCATCATACAGGGAGGGAAACACAGAATTCCTATAAAAAGTTAAGGAAGACTAAAAGCACCATGGAATCTATCCTTTTACCTATATACTTGCATGGCTCCCAAATAATTTCAGGGAGGTATACTTCACAAGTACTGAAAAACATTTTCATGAAGTAATATTTTCTAGATTACAGAGCAAAAATGGCTTATGTGTACTGCTATAGCACCAACGTCCTGATCCTTCCCCTACATGCCCATAACACAGAATCAAAGCAATGACTTAAGGAGAGCTGTAGTGAGATACTTCTAGAATGTCTTAGGCCTGTAAGTAAAAATACAGCAAGAAAGAGAGAAAAAAGACAGCATGGGGGCTGCTAAGAGAACAAGGTGATTCAAGAGAAAGGAAAACTAGAAGATATACACAGTTAAAACAGTAAGGTGAATCAGTCTCCTCCTGTTATTTCCAGACAGGTACTGATGTCTCAGAATCAGTTTCTGCCACCAGGAAATGCAGAAGCCATAGAAAAGATCTAAATCAGATTACTAAAGATTTTTAAAACCCCTACCAAGGAGGGCAAAATAAGAGGCAGCCATGAAATATTTCTAGATTGCTTCAGTTGTGAAGCTATTAAGAGAAGAAAGAGGAGTGTATCGAAAAGTATCTCCAGACTCCAACACAGATTTGATACTAAAACTTGTTGGCAAATTCAAGTTCTTCAGTAGAGAGCCAGAGAGCAGCTATGGAATCAGCATAGAGCCAGAGAGCAGCAGGACCCAGTACAGAGCCAGAAAACCGCAAGAGTATCAGCACTGGATCTCACTGCTGTCTGGCTCTGGGCTAAATCCCCCACCCTGGCTCTGTCCTGGGATCCTGCATTGCTCCTTGGCTTCCTGCTTAGTCAGGGAGTGACAAGAGACCCAGAGTAGAGCCACCCTGAAGGGTAGCATGCAGCAGTGGGGGAGGTAGGTGGCAGGGATGAGGGAGGGCAAGTGGCTTAGGAGCAGGCAGATATTGGGGGGTGGCAGCACAGGGTGGGGAGCATGTGGCATGGGGACAAGGTGTGGAGTCTGGGGTCAGACTGCAAGCCCTCCTTGTCACTTACCTACCCATTGCTTGCCCTCCTGCTTCTGTTTTCCTTGCTTAAAATGAAGCTCTAATTATTAGATTCCTTACATATTAAATTAAAAGAAATTTATAATTTTCCATGTATAGAATCTAATTTGGGGGGTCATCTTAAATTCAAAGTTGCCTTGGTTTGGGTGAATACATTATTTGGAAAAGTCTACAGTTCCCCTGACAAATAATAACGCAGATTGTATAAACAGATCAGAATTATTAACAATTACGTGTACTCCCCTTTTGAACATCCTGGGTGAACATGTTCTATCCAAGCAGTGTGATAACCTACAATATTAGAATGTTGCAAACCAGCCAGCACTTTAACCTCTCGTAGTACCTAAAAAAAACAAAGTTTATGAACTTCTTGCACTTCCCATAAAAAACAAATGCAAAAGTAATAAAAAGTAATGATTTTCCACATAAAATTATTTTACCCATTATTGTAACTTAAGAGTTGCCAGAAAAATTACAATAATAAAGATCTCAACATTCTCATTGAATTAGGAAATTCTTAAGGCGCTTGGGATATCTTGCAAACTACTGCCTAATTTAGGCTCATACTGGGGATAAATACAGCTACATAAAGAGAAGTACAGGTACTCCTTGCTTAATGTCGTAGTTATGTTCTTGAAAAATGCAACTTTAAGCGAAACGATGTTAAGCAACTCCAGTTACATCACGGTAGTTACTTACTAGCAGGCGGTGGCAAAACAATGTTATAACTGAACATTGCACGACTTTAAACAAGTATGTTATGCTTAGGAGCAACCAACACGGGTTCATTAGAGGCAGGTCCTGTCAGACCAACCTGGTGGCCTTCTATAACCAGGTCACAAAATCCTTAGACGCAGTGTAGCAGTGGACGTAGTCTTTCTTGGACTTTAGGAAGGCCTTCGACACTGTCTCTCACCCCATTCTCATTAAAAAAACTAGGGGACTGTGGCGTCGACACCTACACAGTCAAATGGGTCACTAGTTGGCTAGAGGGCCGCACCCAGAGAGTGGTGGTGGACGGGTCATTTTCGACCTGGAGGGATGTGGGCAGTGGGGTTCCGCAGGGCTCAGTCCTCAGGCCTGCACTGTTCAACATATTCATCAGCGACTTGGATGAGGGGGTAAAAAGCACGCCGTTCAAATTCGCAGACAACACTAAGATGTGGGGAGAAGTGGGCACGCCAGAAGGGAGGAATAGGCTGTAATTGGACTTAGACAGGTTACAGGCGTGGGCGGATGAGAACAGGATGGGTTTCAACACTGACAAGTGCAAGGTACTGCACCTGGGGAGGAAGAACCGCAGCTGACCTACAGGCTGGGGAACTCCCTTCTTGTCAGTGCAGAGGCAGAAAAAGATCTTGGAGTCATTATTGATGCCAAAATGAACATGGGCCGACAGTGTGGGGACGCGGTCAGGAAGGCCAACTGCACCTTGTCATGCATCCACAGATGCATCTCAAGCAGGTCCAATAAGGTGATCCTCCCCCTCTATGCGACACTGGTCAGGCCGCGGTTGGAGTACTGTGTCTTGTTCTGGGCGCTGCACTCCAGGAGGGATGTGGACAACATGGAGAGGGTCCAGAGGAGGGCCACTCGCATGATCAGGGGGCAGCAGGGCAGGCCCTACGAGGAGAGGCTAAGGGACCTGAACCTGTTCAGCCTCCACAAGAGAAGGCTGAGGGGAGATCTAGTGGCTGGTGACAAACTAGTGGGAGGGGACCAGCAGGCACTGGGGGAGTCCCTGTTCCCCCAAGCACTCCCAGGAGCGACAAGAAATAACGGTCACAAACTGGCAGAGGGTAGATTTAGACTAGACATCAGGAGGCACTACTTCACTGTCAGGGCGGCTAGGATCTGGAACCAACTTCCAAGAGAAGTGGTGCTGGCTCCTACCCTGGGTCTTTAAGAGGAGGCTAGATGAACACCTTGCTGGGGTCATTTGACCCCAGTACTCTTTCCTGCCATGGCAGGGGGTCGGACTTGATGATCTGCTCATGTCCCTTCCGACCCTACGTACTATGAAACTATGTTCTCTAATAGATCAGCGACATAATAATGAAACATTAACCGGGATGACATTAGGTGAGGAGTACATGTAAATCCTTCCTATTCAGAAGAATGTAATATATCAATCTTATTAGAATCATACATTCATAGAAAGTTAAGGTCGGAAGGGAACTCAGGAGGTCATCTAGTCCAACCTCCTGCTCAAAGCAGGACCAGTCCCAACTAGATCATCCCAGCCAAGGCTGTGTCCAGCCAGGTATTAAAAACCTCCAAGAATGAAGCTTCTACCACCTTTCTGGGTAACCTGTTCCAGTGTTTTACTACCCTGCTAGGGAGAAAATTCTTCCTAATATCTAACTTAAACTTCCCTTGCTGCAACTTAAAACCATTGCTCCTTGTTCCGTCATCTGCCACCACTGAGAACAATCTAGCTCCATCCTCTTTGTAACCCCCGCTTCAGATAGTTGACGACTGCTATTAAGTCCCCTCTCAGTCTCATCTTTTCTAGACTAAATGAGCCCAGTTCCCTCAGTCTTTTCTCATAAGACATGTCCCCCAGCCCCCTCACCATTTTTGTTGCCCTCCACTGGACTCTCCAATTTGTCCACATCCTTGCTGTAGTGGGAGGCCCAAAACTGAACACAGTTCTCCAGATGTGGCCTCACCAGTGCTGAATAGAGGGAAATACTCACTTCCCTTGACCTACTGGCAACACACCTACAAATGCAACCAGTACACCATTAGCCTTCTTGGCAACAAGGGCATATGGTTGGCTCATATTCAGCTTATTGTTCACTGCAACCCCCAGGTCCTTTTTTGCAGAGCTGCTGCCCAGCCATTCAGCCCCCAGTCTGTATTGGTGCATGGGACTGTTCCGTCTTAAGTGCAAGACTCTGCACTTGTCCTTGTTGAAGGACAATTCCTGACATGCCTGCTTACTGTTTTGGCATAAGCATCATTAAGGATATTACTAAATGATATTAGGAACCAATTTATAGTAGGCAGCAAATTACTGTTTCAATTCAGGAAAAATTCATACCTTCATACAATCCCTTTTTGTAGCCTTCTTAATAAGTATTTTTTTGACAGCATAGAATTGACCATCTAATTTGTTTCTGACCTGAAAATAATTTTGAAAAGGACAAGCTTAGATATAATAAACTTTAATAAATTTAGATCAACAAAAATCCATTTGAAAAACAGATTCCTAAAGGCTAAATTCTATTCTCCTTTTTCAGACAACTTCTCAATGATATCAACAAAGGTATTCACAATTTAGGCCAAAGGGTCTAAGGAAAGGGTGCCAAGTTTTGCCCAGTTTTCAGTAGTATGAGGATTTAATTCAAACTGCATATGACTAAGGGGACATGTCTACAGTTATATCAATGATATACTGAGGGTTTGGTTTTTTTAACTGTTTGGGGGCTATAATATTATATAGAAAAAATATAAAAGTATTTAAATTATTTCCTGCTGTTTATGATAATGCAACTAAATATTCTAAAACACCTTAACAAATAACCAGTTACATGAGTCTGAAACAAATACCTTAATTTTTCTAAAAGATATCTAAAAGACATCTTTCTATATATTTGTCTACTAGTAATTATATACCATTAGTTGACACAGATCATTTTTTTTTAAAGCAGCCAACATTTGGTTAAAAAAAATCAGCTTCCATACTTAATTTAAAATTAGTATATCAGAACACTTCATACCAGATTTTTTTACTATTCTCTGAATAAAAATTAGGCTGCACACATGGGTAAAATTCTCAGTATATTATATAAAAATCCATCAGGGCCCTTACAGCTCTCTTTTGAATCAAAAAACAAGAAAACCTTAAATGTAACAGGCTCATATTTGTTTCAAGGCAGGAGTGTCAAACACATCTGGCCCCTGTGAACTGAGTGAAAAGCATGGGACCAATCTGCAGGCCAGGTTAGACCCAAAGACAGGCCCCATGCATCACAGCTGGCACAGAGGGCCAGTCCACCATGGGCACCTCATGCAGCATGTGTCCTGGACCAGACTGGTGCACTACATGCAGTGTGTGCTGCCCCAGTCCAGGGCTTGCACGTGAGCCCTACACGCTGACTCATACATGAGGCCTGTCTGTGGGCCTAATCTGGAACAGCCTGGGAGCCAGTCTGGCAGGGTACCACATACAGCGCATGCCCTCGATCATCCCCCACTGCTGCAACAGCACACATGCCTGGTCCAGCCCTGCACACCACATACACCTGGAGCTCATGCTGCATGCATGTCAGTCATGGAACACATGCTGCATATGGTGCCTGCACTGGACCAGCCCTACACACTAGCTCTTGTATGTAGAGACAGGATGTGAGCCTAATCCAGACCAACCCCAGAGCCAGCAAGCAGGGCCAGTCCAACGTGGGTGCCACATGCAACAAATGCACTGAACTGGCCTCCTATGCTGGAGCACTGTCCACAGCACTAAGTCCAGCCCCATGTGCCACATGCAGTGCATGTGATCAGGGCCAGAGAATGCCACACTTGGCATGTGGGGTCATTCCAAGACCCACAAGGCTGGACCCTAGGGTTTCATGGGCCAAATCTTTGACACCCTTATTTTAAAAGCAGATAAACTATGCCTCATCTCACAGAAAACATAAACAACATTTAAGTCAGCAGATACTTTGTCCTTGTATACTCTGTATACCTTGTATACTTTGCCATACCCTCCTTTTCCGAGCCTTGCAACCTCCTCAAATTCATTTAAGTAACGTGAAGTCTGTGCTTCCAAGACAGCTTCTTTTTCCCTAATCAAAAATGTTTTGACTGATTAAAACTAAATTGCAACTTATAACTCAGATATGTATACATTATGAGTAGCAGTTACACAGAAGTATAATTTACAATGGGAAAGAAAGTCTCAAATACTGAACATGATGGAATGAATAAAGTCTGATAAAACACACAAGTGTAGAAAGTAATATTAGCATCAGTAACTAGAACCCCCCCCCACCATGAATTACCAATATTGCAAACAGCAAGAAACTAACATTATTTCAAAATAAAGGATACTGCCCTCATGAGATAAAAATGAATCCTACGTTAACTATAGTTTAATTTTTGTTATATTTATCATTAAGTAGTAAATTACAAAAGGTCTTGTGCATTTTACAGATATAGGAATGTCTTAGTAAGATGGGGCTTCACAATCGATTTCTGTCAAGTAGGGATGCAAGCTCTGAGTAGGGTGTTTAAATATGACTTATCTTTGCAAAACAGTAGAGTGATAATTAGAAAAGCAATACTGTTTATTTTATGAAGGCCAATGTCAGCAATACCAATTTTCCTAAAAAGATTTCACAGCAGCTTTTGTGTGTTGTGAAGCAAACTTACTAATCCTACCAAAGATGATGATTATAAACACACCTCACACTTCAGGGATATAGCCAGTTGCCTGTAGGGGTCAGTAAGGAATTTTCTTCTCCTCATATATAATTTGGCATCTGAGGATTTGAATTTGCTTTCCTCTAATGCATGAAAGCCTGGTTGTGGTGTGAGTTGGAATAAAGAATGGCACCAGTCAAGAGAATCCTTTTAGGCAAGGCTGTCCAACTGGTGCCCCATGGGGTGCATCTGACCTACAAGGGGATTACATGTAGCCCATGGATTCCTCCACGGCTGCCATTCCCCCCACTGCTCCTGTTGCTGCAGCAGCAAAGTCTCTGAGGCAAGGCAGTATGGCTGGAAGAAGCCCGGTGAGCCTGTTGCCCGCAGTAGGGTGGGAGGACATGGGGAATGATGATGGGGGACTCGTGTAGCCCACATGGTTGTGGAAAGTGGGGAGGCAGTTTGTGTTGCCTGCATGGTAGGGTTCCCTGGAAGCTCACATGGTGTGTAGCCCCTGGCTGCTCAGAAGTCTGACAGCCCTGCTTTTAGGTATCTGGTTATTCCCTCTCACTTATGGCTGCTGACCACCAGATTTAAGGTTGGAGGTTAAACTTTCCTAGGTTATACCAGCAGACAGCTTGGGGTTTTTCATACGAGCATAAATATGTGGAGGGAACCAGACCTCTTTTTGCTCCAAGTTCTGCTTGCAAATCCCTCTCAATGGCAGGGCACCACTGCCCCCACTACAGCAGGTCAGTCCCCATAAAGGGCACATTCCTTTACAGCAGGATGTCCCACCCACAGGAGCCACATGTACGGCCAGCCATTCTACATATATCTATCCACACTATAGGGTTTTCACCTTCATCCATCATTCAGTGTTTTCACACTAGGCTGAATTCTGTTTTCTGGAACACATAGCTTCAGACATTTATTTTATTACTTAGTACAGCACTTTGAATACATACCCAGCTGTATGGGAATCTCCATTTTCAAGGTCCTACAAATAAACAATACCCAATTTAAAAAAGAAAAAACCCACAAACAGTAAGTAATCTAGCACACAGTTAAGCAGGCTTCTTAATACAAGGAACCCAAGCAGCAGGACAGAAACCCCAATTATCATCTTAAACTTTACTAAGAAAGAATTGACAACATTTAAAAAAATAGTTTGTCCAAATTTCTATATGAATAAAAATAAAACTCTGACTTAATAAAGCAAGAGTGCTATGGATTTTACAAGCTTCTGTTTAAATCAGACACTTATTCTTGTCCAACTAAAGCATTCTTTTGTATGAATATTGAAAGCACATGCTTTGGTAGGAAAATGGCTTCACAAAGAAAGTCGCTTTAGAATGTGTAATACACAGACTCAGTAACATAAAAGTTATTGACATTTGCAAAAGCTTACCCCATTAAGTGTTTGTTGATTAGCTGCTTTCATTAATTCAGTAATGGCTTTATTATGATGCAGTCTTAAAGTACTAAATTCATCACACAAAGCAAAAGAGGAAAGCAGGCCCATTCTAGTAAATGTGTGACCGAGTACTGTACAAAGGAACAGAATAAAGAATATTTTAAAGAAAGTCTGAACAAAGGCCTACAACTGTAAATAGTATACTCAGGTCACAAGTAATCCTCATTATTCATAAGCCCTACTTACCCTTTATAGTGATCAGCTAAATCAATGAACATTAATGAAAGTTAGATGCCCATCTCCATGTGTATATTTTTTCTCCCCCCATATAAATAATTACAAACAAAGTCCTTAGTGAACTTATACTTGCCTCTTTGCATTGACACAGATCCAAAAAAAATCAATATAAAAATACACCACTTGTGAGTATTTATAAGCATTTGGGGCTATGCTCTTTATTAAAAAGATATGTTTTATTATAAAAACTGAAAACAACATGGTTTAGTCAGTACTGGCTTTGGGGAGCATTTGATAATATTACAAGAAAAGGCCTCATACCACCTCTTTTTTAACAAGAATATGATGTTTTTGAAAGATTATGGATCTGAAAAATCAAATGTTCTCTAATACTTTTTCCCCTCGCTCATCCCTATCAAAACTAACTACAGCTGCCCGCTAGTAAAGGCCCTTCCCTAAATGCAAAATGATTGTATTTTCCCATATACAACATGTCACCTTGTTTTTGAAAGAAAAAAAAAGAGTAACTAAAAAAAGTGGTACATACAAGTATGTATAACAGTAAAGTAAAAGCTGTATTTTATCTTACTGACTTTTGAACAAATGTCTTGAACGAGCAGGATTTTGTGTATACATGTGACAGAGATGTTCTAGAAGAGAAACCATCAGAAGTTGGTTTGCAACTGTAGAGGTGAAATGTATTAATTTTTTTGAACCATTCACAACTTGAAGTCCGCTTGGGAGATCAGATTCTGAAAAGGAAAAACAAACGCTTAACAGGAACCTGGATGCCACAATAAAAATAAAACTCGAGCCAACAGAGTAGCTGCAGAAATACAAACTTAGTTAACAAAAGCGTGCCCGTAAAACATAATTGGATTAGTGGGGCAGCACTTTTATAAAATGAAGATACTGTGCTAACTGCTAAAAGACCAGCACTGTATAGGAATATGAAATATGTAAAGCATTTTGATAATTAGAAATCAACAGATGTGTTCTGAAAGAGACCAGGCAAAAACTATTTGTTTTTAAAGGCTTCACTTAAGAGGAATCTCATCTATCTAAGAGTGGTGCCCAATCTTCTAGCCCCGTAGGCCAGACAAGTGGCATTGGGTCAGTTCATGGGTCAGATCCTGTTCTGTACAAAGTCAGCACATATGGTTGGTTCATGGGTAGAGTCCAGTGCACCGACCCAGCCCTACACCCTGGATCTGACCCTGTGCAATCAGATGGACCATGCACTGACCCAACTCCAGTAGCATGGTAGGTTGTATTAACAGGAGTGTCACTTGCAAATCAAGGAAAACAATTCTTCTGCTCTATTCAGCACTGGTGAGGCTTCACCTGGAGTAACTGTGTCCAGTTTTGGGCCCCGCTCTTTAAGGATGTGGGCAGATTAGAAACAGTTCAGCACACAGCAACAAAAATGATTAGGGGCTTTTGGAGGCAAGACTTATAAGAAAATGCTGAAAGAAGTAGAGTTATTTAGTCTGGAGAAGAGAAGACTGAGGAAGGATTTGATAACATTCTTCAAATACCCAAAGGGCGATTTTGCTGGTTGCTATGTCAGGGTTTTTATTTAGGGGTGCACCGATAAAGATTTTCTTGGCTGACACCAATAGCCAATTATTCACCAGGCATATCAGCTGATACCGCAGCAGGCAGCATGGAGAGCAGCACTTTCAGGTAAGTCTGTGGAGGGGAAGAGGCATGGGGGGGTGCAGATCAAGTCCCCCATGGTGAGGGAGAGAGTGCGGCAGAGGGGCAGGACCTGGGGCAGGGCAATAAATGAGACAGAGCTGTGGGTGGCTTGTCCAGGAGATCACTGTCCCAGCATTAAAAAATGGCAATGGAGGTGCTTGAACTAAAGCTCATCGAATGGCTGGGACAGGGGATGCAGCTCAGCCAGTGCGAGGCTCCTGGAACAAAGACAGCAGGGCAAAGAGCCCCAAGCCCACCTCTGCCCTTGTCCTGCTCAGCTCCACTCGAGTTATAGATGTCCCAGTGCTTAAAAATGGTGGCAGCAGCACTTGAACTAAAGCCCATATTGTGAGCTCTAGTTCAAGTGCTCCTGCTGCCATTTTTAAATGCTGGGATGCTGGTCCCCTGGACAAGCCACCCACAGCTCTGTCCCGTTGCCCCAGGGTCCCATTCATGCCCCAGTCCTACTCCCTCCCTCACTGTGGGGGCCTCAATCTACCCCAACTTGCCCCTTCCCTCCCAGAGACTCATCGGCAGGATGCTGCTCTCCAAGCCGCTCGGTTGCATATCGGTTATCGGGTTGGTATCGACTGATATATCTGTCTGGTTAATAATGAGCCATCAGTATCAGCCAAAAATATCTTTAGCACTGCACTGCTAATCTTTATTGGTACATTACTGACTACCCCAGCCAAAAAAAGCTGACAGCCGACAATGTTAATTTTCCTCTTTACAGAAACAACTTTGACAGAAGGAGGACCCTGGCTGCTGTGCCCCCCTGCTTTACAGAAGCACAGAAAAGTAGGGTTGGAAGGGACCTGTGTCCCGAGACTTGACCACCCTTGTAGTCAGGCAGTTCTCCTAGTCTCCAACCTAAATTTCCTCTGCTGCAACTTGAGGCCATCATTCCTAGACCTGTGCCCTCGGGCTACAGAGAAAAGCCCATCATGAACTGCAGAATTACAGGGCTTCCTTCCAGCCCTACTCCTCTATAGGTCTTCTAGGCCAACCCGCTGCCTCAGGTGGCATCATCCTCATCCAAACCATCCCATACAATCCACCAGCTAAACTCTGCGTAAGATTACAATCAACCCGGACGCAGCACAGACCTAACACCTGGGCCTGTCACAGGGAACGCAAGGGAGCCACAGCAACCAACATCCTGCTTCTCTGAAACGCTGGTGACAAGCGCTCGAGAGATCCCGCGTAGGGAGCCACGCCACCCCCCAGACAAGGTCACCGGAAGGCCTGCAGCAGTTTGGGGCGTTGCGCCTCGTGTTGTCAGGATTGACGGTTGCCTAGGAGGGTGCTGCCATTGCAACAGGACGCAATCTTTGTTTGCCCTTGGACGTTTTCAAGAGCAGGCCGGCTGGGGAGGTCCCCTCCAGCCCTGCTTTTTTAGGATCCTAAATCCTTCTCTTGAGCAGCTGTCACGAGTCACAACACGTCGGACTCCCCGACTGGCCTTCCTTCACATTCAAACACCTGTTTTTGGGGAGGTGCAGACCCGCACGGGACTGCCACCCCCCCCCCGCCCGAAGGGGATATGCTTTTGACAGGAATAAAAGCAAGCCCAGAGGAGGGGAGGCGAAGCCGGGCAGACGGGGAAAAACCGGAGGCAGGGCTCAGCTTCGCGGGGTGGGAGACAACAGGCCGGCGGGGATGGCGGGAAAGGCGCAGCCGCCCCTCACGGATGATAGCGGCCCTTAGGTGACCCCCGTCCCTCTCACCGTCAAACTGCGGCTCCGGCCCGTCCTCGGGAAACTCCACCACGGAGCATGGCCGGCCCGACCAGACCAGCCCGACCCGGCGCCTTGCAGATCCTTCCGGGCCGCGCTCGCCCCCTGCAGGGTGCCCGGGCCGCGGGGCCCACCCGTGCCTGTCCCGGCCCAGCCCCGCGCCGGGACCCGCCTAGTCCGCTCAAACTGCGACCCCGAGAAGACGGCGCCTGTCCCGGCTCGGGGCTGAACCTTGCAACAAGCAAAGATCCGCGGCGCCTACACGTGACAGCCGGCTTCAGCCGACTGCGCTTTACTGACTGCACCGGGAACGGGGTCGCTGGTGATTTGCGGTTTTTAGAAAACTGGAAAGAAGAGAAACTCGATGCAAGCCCCATCCCCTCCGGGAGCAGCGTAACGGGGCGCGCTCCCCTGGGGCTCGACTGCCGCATTGCGAAGTGCTCATTAGGGCGCATTTGGCAGGACGCCCTAATTGAACGCGGGGCTAATGACTCGTGTCTTTTCCCGGCTGTGGCAGGGCGGGCGGGCGCAGGCGGCCCCAGCCAGAGCTACTGCCTTCAAGCAGGGCCTGTTTGTGGTCTGAACAGGCTGTTTAAAAATGGGAAGTCTTTTCTTTAAAAAAAAAAAAAAAAAAAAATTGTCCTGTTCCCAGCCAAATCCGTGAGTCAGTCCAGAACCGTAAGCGGCCCCACGACCGCCAAGCAGCCTCCACCCACACCAGGGGTTCAGATATTTCCAGTCTTTTCGCCGCATCCTACGCGCAGGCCCAAGCGCTGAGGCTCGGGGCTCGCCTGCCTCAGCCAAAGCGCTGCAGGAGCCTCCCGTTTCCCTAAAGCGGGCTTTAACCCCGACACCCGGGCAGGCGGGTCCTAAACCAGCCAGAAGAGCAGTGATCCCCAGGAAACCTGCCTTCGTGGGCCCAGGGACAGGGTGTTTCCCCAGTGCCCTTGCGCAGGCCAGGCGTGGCGCTGCTCCGAGGCAGCTTTGCCCACAGGTCACTTGTGACCCGTGAGGTCGGCAGCCCCGTGTGCCCGAGCCTCGGGGCGCCTGCTGAGACCCCCGCAGAGCAGGGGCAGGTACCGCGGGCAGCAAAGGCACCATCACCCCTGGCACGCCGGCCCCCCGCCAGCCGAGGCCGCGGGGCCGAGCTGAAAAAGAGCCCCGAGAGGCGCTCTCCTGGCGGGGCGCAGACGGGCTCCCCGCGGGCTGCGGGTTATTCCGGTGCAGCAGGGGCGGGCTGGTTTGGCCCCGCGGACCCATGTCAGTGCGAGAAGGATCACGCTGACTCCCAGGAGCAACCCCGGCCGTGGATGAACCCTCCCCCCGCGCCGGATGGTCCCACCCCCGGAGCACTACCCGCACG